CGCTTTCCATGAGGCAGGCATGGAATCTGCTCCATACCACCCCCAGAGCTGGGTTTGTGGAGACACTGCAATCCCCTCCTCCTCTCAGTAGGGCCCTGCACCTCATCCCACCCGGCTCTCCTTAGCTCCATGCTGCCAACTAGGCTGCTCTCCAGGGAGGTTAAGATGTGGGAGCTGGGCCAGGAGGCTGCCGCAGCAAGGTCAGAACTGCCAATTGCATTAGCCCTGCATCTCTCAAGACCCTAAGGCCAGCTTGGAGACACCCCTCATCCTGAAGCTTTCCTTCAAGTAAAAGAGTTTCTTCTGCACAACAGGCCCATGCCTGGCACTGCAGAGAGTGTGGCCCTGCTTCCAGAAACTCAGGACCCGCACTGCCTAACTTGAAGATTTTCTTCTTGATCTACTTTACCAATCTCTCCCACTATCACCTCCATGAGACACAAGCACATGCAAGTATCTGTTCTCTTATGGCGTGTGAATTCCCCCACCCTTTAGCTCGGTCTAATAAAAGCAAGCAAACCATGGGTGGGAACCATATTTAAGACCTCTAGCATCTTCTCTTCCAATGATCTCCCTTACAAAGTGCCAAGTGTAGGCATAAAACAGAGGAATGGGAATAGCCCCACTTTTAAAAGTGAAGGAGTCAAACATTGCTGGTAGATTTTAATAAGATCTACAGAGGTTTTTGTTTGTTTAGTTTTGTTTATAAATACACATAAAAGGGTTTCTTTTATTTAGGGTCAAGCTGTCAGGCTCCAATAGAAGCCTGGCATAGACAGTGGCCAAAACAAGAACAGAAGACAGAATCTTATAATCCAATAAAACACAAGTGAGGGTGAAGGAAAAAGAAGAAGAATGTCTCACCCCACACCCAGCCTAAAAGGAGAGAAAAGTGCTGAGGTCAAGTAAGTTTTCTAAAGCATGTTAACAGTACCGTGTCTGTCCATCATTAAACTCATTTATTAACTTTCCAAGTTGGTGCTGTGTGCTTCCTGCTCCCCAGTCACCTTCTGTGGACCACACTCATCACTAGAATATCTGAGTCACCAGAGGTCTACCTCAGCCCATGGTTGGGACTACAGGCTGGATCTTGATGCAGAACACACAGCATAGAGGACTTCTCCCAGGGAGAGAGTCAGGAGCCCAGCACAATTTGCATCACAGAGAACAAGGATGATGCACAGGATGGGACTCAAATTGCCTCCTTCCAAGTTTGCAGAGCATCTGTGTGACTTGATGGCATGGTGAATTTCTCACCTCCAACAGGTGGTCCTCTCTCCCACCCTGCTTTATAGACAGGCATCAGGGAGGCAGCAGCCCTCAGACCCTCTCTGATTGTTCCCTTCACACCTGTGGTTCCCATCTCTGACAAACCTTCTTGCCCTGAGGACCATCTGGAATCTTAGCATGCAGCTTAGGTTGGCAGGGGGTGAAGGAAGGGAGCTTACAGAAGCTCCTCAGATTGGCCAGGAGCACTTGCTCATGTCTGTAATCCCAGCACTTTGGGAGGCCCAGGCAGGCAGATCACCTGATGCCAGGAGCTCGAGACCAGCCTGGCCAACACGCTGAAACCCCATCCCTACTAAAAATACAAAAAATTAGCCAGGTGTGGTGGCACATGCCTGTAGTCCCAGCTACT